ATATCTTGTGTTATTCCATCTTTGAACTGTTGATGAAGGGGACATGATTTAAAAAAAAAAAAAAAGTATTTAAAATGATAAAAATTTACTTGGAAGGACTGACATATTTTATAGAAATAGTTTCCTTTCATTTTGAAGTAATATTAAAGTATTTGGAAGAGAAAAGTTGACAAATGATGTAAAATCCTGCACCTTCTACTTGTTTGCACAATTTTCCCTCTGTTACTTTTCCCTCCGTTACCATGATGAACTTTCTTAATAAAAAATCTCATGACTCAAAAAGTAAGAGGTTTTTCAACCTAATCTTGTACCATATGGTAGAAAACTATATGAAGCAAATATTCAAACCAGTTTGTTAAGGATATGTAAGTGAGAACCAAGAGTTATCACTGTTTGGATTTATTGCCCAAAAAGTGCTGCATATTTCATTCCCTCCGTTACCGACATGAGATTTTAAATTTTTTGTCAACAACTTGAAAGAATATCACAGGTTTAACTTGACCCTGTTGGAGTGTAACTCTTTCCTACATTCTGATACTTTACTTATTTCAATAGTCCCTCTAGTTTCTGAATAAGAGACATTTGAATGTCAAAAATCTGCCCCTGTTTCCCTCCGTTACCACTTGACCGGACCCAAAGTCAGAAAAAACAAAAAAAACAAAAACATCTCTAACTTGGTTTCCGTGTCCTTGTTAAATATGTTGGGACCCATTTTTTGGAAGGGGGTCGTAACAATCATTATTATATTGTTATTATGAAATTATGAACTTACTATTATAAGTTATGAATGGCCATTTAACGTTTTCAAGTGAATAAAATACAAATTTAGTTTGTATCATATGTTGCCCCCCACTGGTTGTGAATGTTTGGGGCCCCTGGGCACCGTGCCACTGGCCCATTTGGATAATCTAGACTTGCTTTTTGAAAGTGCTCTCAATCTGCATCTCTTCACCTTCAGTTGGTCAAATGAGGTAAAAATCTCTTATTACAGGCCTTTTGCGAACTAAACAACTCACTGATTAATCAAAAGAATATTGGTCACATGAACCAATAATCAGAACTAATTGACCCCCCACATTCAGTTTGTATTTGGAGGATGATGAGGTGCTCCCTTTGCTGGTGATGGTTTGTTGGTGATTTTTTTTGCAGTATTTTAAATGTTACATGTTTACACTTTATAAAGACTGTAGATTTGTACATAGAACATATATATGACTTATAAGTTACATGGTCATATTCTTATCATCTTGTTTCTAAATACATTCTATAACTTCATCAACATTTTGTAGGGTTTGGTACATTTTTAAAGATATTTAATATGCAACAACAAACAAACAAACAAACTTCCTCATTTGATTGTCAGAACTTTAAACTGCAATACCTCAAAACGCAGAGAGAACTTGATAATTACAATTCTAATCCTGTATGGAAACGTGATTAAATAATATGAAAATAGAACGCAAACTGTAATAAAATGATCAAATCCTACCGTCAGAACTTGTCCACAGCAGCAGTCCCACAACTAAACCCAGAGACGTTGCCATTTCTCTAGACAGACTTCAGCTGTAATGAGCGCTAGTCACTTTCACTTCTGATCTGGACTCTGTGCTTACTTTTCAAACTGCACTTGAACAACGGATATTTAGTCTCAAAAGCATTAGATGAACGATAAGAGGAAGTTTGAAGAGCTAGCTTTAACTTCAGGTGAAAGGGGGTTAACCACTCTGCTAAACACAGCCCACACCACATACAGTCAGAGCATCGACATATCTTTATTTTTAAATGAATACGCCCTTCTTCTTTAAGACAGTTTCATATATATCTAACGCACTGGGGACTTTAAAGACCTGACTGCAGCCTAGAGGGTGATCAGAAGAAGAACCGGCAGGAGTGAATGTGTGTGAAAAGTCACAGAACAAGAAATTCAGTTCAAAATTGTGTATTAATGATATGAGTTCAGAGTATATAAGATGTATAAATAATAGATGGTGTTTATATTATATTATTACTTATAGGTAGATATAGTTTAACAAAATAAAACTCTCTACAGGCTGCAAAAATGTTCATGCACTCAATGGTCCTATCACACATCACTAACTGTTTAACAACTTGGCCTCAGGCAAACAAAACCACCCTGAAACCCACAGAATCACTATACAAACACACAATAAAAATATTGGACAAAAAGCCCATGAGATACCACCACTGCAATATTTTACAAAAGCACAACCTGTTAAGCTGGGATAACCTCATCTGTCTCATTTACAAAATCACCTCCTCCACTCTCTCAGTTCATCAGTATCAGAACCACCACACGACTGACTCGAGGGGCGGCCCGTGGAGACTGCATGGTTCCCCTGAGGAAAAGTGCATTCAGCCTTTTCTATCACAGCCTCTCAAGAGTGGAACTCTGTCCCCAGCAGCATTAGAGACCTAACATCATACAGTCTATTCAAAAAGCATGTGAAGAACTGGCTAATAACTCATCAAACCTGTGATCATTAGTTTGCCCTCCTCCCTACCCATGCGTGTGTGTCCGGTCTGTGTGCTCTAGTGTGTGTGTTATTTCTCATTGTGTACATTGTGGTTATGGTTGTTAGTGTCTGTTTTCTCACTGCCTTTTAATTGAACTGTTATGCACAGTTGCACTTTCTTGTATAATTCTTATTGTTGTGTTTTTAGGGTGACCATGTTTACCATCTGTCCAGGGACTACAGATGAAAAATAGCCTGTCTGGCTAATTCTGTTACAGAAATGTTGATTAATGTACACTGTCCCTGTTAAATAAACCAAATGAATAAATAAATAAACAACACAATGAAATGTCACAAACAGTAAGTGTCTTTCAAAGTTCAGAGTCCAGTTCATAAGCGGGTATAGAGGGTGTTATGGTCCATCTGAGTTATTGTAATATGAAAGTTAATTTTGAGTTATAGTAATCCAAAGAAGAGGTGCAGAGTTAAAAAAGGGGATTGTGTGTCCTACCGTGGTTTATGCGGGGAATCGGGAGCTCGTCAACCAGTTTTGGGTGGTAGTATTGCAGTAGAGTGATCCAATGGAAAAGAAAAAAAAAAGACCTAAAACAGGGTCAGTAAAAAAAAAAAAAATTGCACAGAAATAAATTAACTTTACCTGATGTAATAAATAATTACTGCTTGTAAATAAAGATATTAATCAATGCCATAATTCATAGCAATATACATAATTAATGAAGTATAAAAAATAAAATAAAAATTGGTAATTATTTCCATCAATAATAATAATAAACTCAAGCTAAAAAAAACATAGTGCACCTTTAACAAACAAATCAAAGTCAATATCATTATAATTCATCATGATGGACAATTAAATATTCGTGTTTTGTTGCGCAACAGGATCAATTCAAAATAGCCGTATCCGCTTGGGGTTGTGCTTAAAAGTAACAACAACAACAACAACAACAACAAAACTCTACAAATGTTCAAGGCGGCAGAAAAAAAAACAAAAAACAAAACGTTCGGTTGGGGTAGAAACTAAAATAGAGTGGGGATTAAACTAAAAAGTCAATTTATTGGTGGCACAGGTTGTGTGAATGACTTGTAAACGATTGATTTCAAATAGCGCTTCTAAATTGGCATTTGTTTATCAGGTGGTGACCTGTTTGCTGTAGAAATAATTCAAGTTGCCCAGCAGTTATTGAAAGTGGAAGGAAACTGAATATTGGAGGCAAACATCAGTACAATATCCACACATATGAAGTACTGTATTTTTCGGACTATAAGTCGCACTTTTTTCATGGTTTCGGGTCCTGTGACTTATACTCTGCTGTATAAGTCTTATTTATTAAAATTTTGACACTGACAGCCACGAGAGCCTCTGTCCTGTCTGTATCATGGCAGTCGATTACACCATTACCTCTGCAGCACTGAAAATTCTAAATTTAAAACTTATTCAGACAATTGAGAAGACTGAACACAAATGCCCCTAAAAAGAAAATCATATTTTGCAGATTACAAGCTGCAAGTAGCTAAATATTCAGCTAAAAATGGTAATCGAGCAGTAGAAAGAAAGTTTGGAATGAGTGAGAAACTTGTGACACCGGGAGGATGCAGGAAGCAGGAAACTTTCCTGAAGTCACTGGATGGATGAACAAAGCCTGGGCTTCAGTGACACTGAAACCATGAAGTTGGGATTCAGAAAGACCAGAATAATTCTAACTGGAACTGATGCTGAGTCTGACGACAGCGACACAGAAGAGGAAGTGTCGCTCTGTTTACCTCCGGAGGTCGTGGAGTTGCTCAGAAGTGACACGGAGGATGAAGAATTGAATGGATTTAGTGATTTGGAGTGAGATGGAGAGTTTGTTAAACTTGTTCTGTTCTGTTGTTTATGTTATAGTTTATCTGAAGAACTGTTCATATGTGACGTTAACAGTCTGTTGTTCTCTCTTCTATTGTTTTTACTACAACTTGACTTTCAACAGGAAATGTCGATTCCTGGTCTCTGATTTTATAAAATAAATTTCCACCAAAAAGTGTGACTTATATATGTTTTTTTTTTTTCTTCTTCATGATGCATTGTGCAACTTATAGTTTGGAAAGTACTGTATGCGTTCAGAAAGTCTGTGTTAGAAGCTCAGAAGCTAAGCAGGGCCGGGGTGGTGTGTAGATGGTAGACTGCTGTAAATACCATGTGCCACAGGGGGGTGCCAGTGTTCCTGTGTCCTCTTCATGACATCACAAGTTGAAACAGAGCATTTGGAGTTTTAGAGATGTAGACAGACTCATGATAAAGAGTTATTCAAACATGTAAATGAAACAAAACACACCCAGGACTGTTTTTGAGGAGGTAACAACAATACTGAATACTTTAACCTCGAGTTGTTGGACCAATATATTTGTCACTAATTAGAGAAGGAAAATGCTACACTGTGGAATCTGTACTGTGCTGGAATGTTCCAAACTGCACATATTTCACTGAATCTCAACATGCAGTGGGGCACTAATGCTGGCTGCTCTTACCTGGTACTTCTGCAGAAACTTGTTGAACATATGTTGTTGTTGTTAAATCTGTTGTTAAATCTTTGACCACAGAATCTGGAAATACATGCAACAATTAACAATCACACTGAGCGAATATGTATGTATGACACACTTACCAAGGACTTTTACGAGGAATTTATAATGAATTAGTGAAATGTGATCTTCTGACTTTTTGTCTACACTGGCTGTATAAAGTCCACCATCTTCCTTCTGTAGGTTCTGTAGAGTCAGAGAGCCGTTCTGTCGATGAAACACACACTTCCTACACTCAGCTTTAGAGGAATATCTATCACTGTTAACTAAAACAACATCATTAAATGTCCAGCTCAAAAACTCGTCATCTTCTGGAGCATAAGGAATATCCAGTGTGACTTGACTTCCTGTCTGCACGAACAGATGTTTGCCTGCAAAAACAACAACATATCACCATCACTTATTTGAAAAATACACTAAACATTTAATATGAACAATTTCATCATTCATATTACAGTCACCACAGAGTTATAAGTTTTTTGATGAAGATGAAGCACACAAACAAAACAAACATATATGACAGGAATGTAACAATATCCAAGTCTCACGATACGATATCATCACTGTATGAACCGGTATGATATCTACTGCAATATCGTGGGAAAGTTCACGATATGGTGGGGAGGCTCACGATTAGGGATGTAACAATATCCAAATCTCTCGGTACGATATTTTCACAAAATACAACTCACTGTACGATATTTAGTCGCCTCTAGAGCTGCTCTTGTTGTGCTATTTCAGTTTCTTTTCACAAACTCCTTCAGAGGAAGTGGAGCAAGATTATTAAAAACTTTGTATACCAAAATGAAATCTGCATATTTGATTGTGTTGTCCCAATTAAGAAATTAGTATTTGTCAAGTATCCTGCAGTAGTGATAATTTGTGGGCCTTAAGAGCTTTTTTATAAGTTAGAGTTTCAGCTCATTTAAGAAGAGTTTTGCTTGTCAGAGTCCAACTAGTACTGCAATAATTTAGGTGCGGCAAAATCACTAAATTTAAATACATAATTGCAGAGTTTGTCGTTAGATGATTTCTTGCATGATGAAAATTTGATGCATTATATTTGATTTTATTCACTGTTCGTTTGACATGTTGTTGTGATCTAGAAATGATCATCCATGTTTTTGCATCATCAAGGCTGGATTATAGTAAATCTCTCTTCTTTTGTCTTTGTTCGTCCAATAAACTGCAGACAAATTCAAGTTCTGCCATATTATTTCCGCTCTGGCCAATCTCCACTGGCTACTTATCCAGAACGTGTGCAATTTTGGTCATTTTTACACCTAAAATTCCTCATTTATATAGCAAAAAATGTAAACTTAAAAAAAAAAGTCTCAAATTGATATCTCTAATTTAGATTTTTTTTGCATTTTCACCTGCAGTGTCTCACCTTAAATATATTTATTCTTCAAATGCCATTAAACATTGTGCCAGTTTTCATTTCATGTGGATAGGCCCAGTAATTACAGAGATATAAACCAGATCACAACAAATCTGCAATCTGAAAGTTACACAGCAAACTCCAGTCCACTGTGATCCATGTGTGTGACCTTACCTTGAGAGCTCCCCGTCTGCAGGACACTCAGGATTATCAGCAGAAACAGGCTCATGGTGTAGCACAAATGACCACACGCTTCTCCCTTACACTCAAATACAAGTGATTAGACGCACAAATGTATTCTCAAAAAGCAGGAAGTTCAAAACAAAAGTTTGAAATGCAGCGTGGTTAACCACACTGTCACAGCCAACAGGTAAGAGTACGAAATACTGTGTGTGGTATCGTATGCACTGGAACTCACAGAAAGGTGTTATGCATGAACATATTTCCACTTTGAGGTCAGTAACGGCTTTCTTGAGTAAAATGAGTTTAACACTATGAATAACACGTTCCATAAAAGGTGCACTGCGTAACTTTTCTTGGGGAGGGTACGCTACAGGCTGGTCTCCTGTAGATGAACTTAACTAGAATGTTTCACAGTGAAGCATTAAACTTATCTGTCTCCATGGAGGCAAGCAGGTCAAAGTACAGTATCAGTTCTATGGAGAGGCGGGTCCATTTACACAAGCACGCATGTTCTTAATCCATTCACTCATTCATTTTTGAATATAAAATCAAAAATAAGAAAACAAAAAAAAAAGTATTATTATCATTATTTGTCTCCAAAACCTGAATGAAAAAAAAACTGTTAATGATTCGTTTTTTTTTTGTTTTTTTTCAGTTTTTTGATTTTGTGTTTAAATGAATAATGGAAAAAAACAGATAACGTTTAAACTGAGATGCCGAATTTTTGCACCACATGCGGACTAAACCAGGACTAAACCAGGGCTAAAACAGGTCTGGGACCAGACCAGAACCAGACCAGGACTGAAATGAGTACTTAGACCGGGACCAGGACTGAGATCGGGATTGAGGCTGGGACCAGACCAGAACTGAGACCAGGACTGAGACTGGGAACAGGACCAGGACTGAGACCAGGACTGAGACTGGGAACAGGACCAGGACTGAGACCAGGACTGAGACCGGGACCAGACCGGGACCAAAACCGGGACCAGACCGGGACTGAGACCAGGATTGAGACTGGGACCAGACCAGGACTGAGACCAGGATTGAGACTGGGACCAGACCAGTTCTGAAAACGGTTTAGTCCTGGTTTAATCCTGTTTTAGTCCTGGTTTAGTGCTGTTTTAGTCCTGGTTTAGTCCGTATGCTGTGCAAATGTCCGACATCGCAGTTTAGGTCACAGAAACGGGAAACGACCGTTATCCGTTTTTTTCATTATTCATTTAAAGGTTGTATGGAGGATTTTTTTTTGTTTCAAGTTGTCAATGATAGATTATAGAGGTGCAGTAGCCTTGTAATTATGATGACCAAAAAAAAGAGAATAAAAATTCATCAACTCTGGACTTGTGGGGGCTAAACATTTGCCAATAGATAACGACACTGCCTCGTTATCTGTTAGCTGACAGGCTGTCAATCAAACTCCCTACGTTTCTAGCGTAACTGACTTGCCTGCGCACCACCGGTACGTGGTTTACGTACGCCTGTCACGCAGTCCACAGACGCAAGACGCACAGACGCTGTTTACTCCACCAATGCAACAGTTCTTCGCGGCTTTTTTGACCTATATCTTCCTCGCAGTTCGCACAAAGTTTGTTGCAATGGCGACAAGAATCCAGGAGCAGTTCGCCGCAAAAGAAAGTCCGTTTTTGAGGTCGCTGAAAGAAGAAGACAAGGGGAAAAGCAGCGAAGCCAAACTAAGGTGATTCTTGAAGATTCATTCCAGCGATGGTGCGACTGAAGCAGACGAAGGGTCTAAAGACTGACGCACTGGTCCACAAATTACTCCTGGACAGGAAACTTCTGCTTATTATGAAAACGTACTTTATTTCCAAGAGCTAGTCAAACGTTTTTCAGGACATGAAAGCGATATCCTATGTCTGAAAACGTAATTTTCCAGGCAAAGAAAGAGTCCGCTTGCTGCTGCGTGTTGTAGCTAGTTCATTCACACGGAATCTCCGCGCCACCTTCTCTGCTCCCCTTTCCTGCTCCTGTCCCCGCTGCCCGATCCACTCTTCCCGCTGCTCCTCACTTCTCCGGGCACGGAATCTCCGCGCACCGCTCCCCTCTCTCCTCTCCTCTCTCCTCTCCTCTCCTCTCCTCTCTCCTCTCTCCCTGCTCCGCTCTTCTCCCTGCTCCTCACTTCTCGTCTGCGCACGAAATGTCCGCACACCCCCCTCCCCCCCCTCCTCACTTCTCCGTCTTGCCTAACCAACACTGTAGTTAGTTGTTTACAAGTCATGTGCAGCAGCACCGGCTGTAAACAAACCTGTTTCTGGCGTAAGGAGGAGGAGGGAGGAGGTGTTTCTACGTAGGAGCTGTAGGGGAGGGGGGTGGTTTCACGCATGCGCAACATTTGAAAAAGGACAAACAGTCGCTGGATTTCTCGTTCCTTGGAAATTCCTCTATACAACCTTTAAACACAAAATCGAAAACTGAAAAAACTAATCGTTATCTTTTTTTTCATTTTGGTTTTGGAGACAAATAATTAAGAAAACTGTTGTTTTTTCATTTTCTTATTTTTGGTTTTATATTGAAAAACAAATAAATGAATGATACACGGATTGTTCTTAAAGGCATTTCTGAACTATCAAATCACCTCTGAACAATCAAAGGCTGAATAGACTTTTAATTCAATCCCATACCAAGTAATGTGATAACATCTCTAAAGACAAAGAATGTAAATGTAAACCAGAAAAGTTACACAATGCACGTTTAAGTCTATAAATGACACAAGCTTTATGTTGCTATTGAGTGGATTGCTAAATTTTCTATCAATCAATCAAACTTTATTTATAATTTCATACAAAAAATATGTGACAAAGTGATAGAAATGGTAAAACATGAGGCTCAATACAGGAAAGTATTTTTGTTTTTTCATTTCATAAAAATATAAGATCATGTTTATTCTTACGTCTGGAATTTGTACATTTACACTTGTAGAATTCTGTTACTATGCATAGATACAGGAGCAAGCAAATATTGAACTAAATGCATCTTGTGAAAATTCAAATAATTTTTTTAAATGTAAAAAAAAAAAAGATATTGTGAGAAAATAGCACCAATTGCGTAGAAACCACTGCACTGATTTCAGCGCTGAAGTTTTCTTGTAATTTTTATATAGTACTTTGCAGTCCAGATTAAAAATGTAGTTGATGTGAAAGTACAGATGCCTGCTCTCAAATGTACTAATGTAAAAGTAAAAATGTATTTACTGTAACTTTTCTTAAACCCACAGTGTGTCATTTTTAGCCAAGAAAAAGCTTTTTGTCATTTTTGAAGGGCGTTACACTAGTCTATTCTGGAGCTGATATGTGTGAAGAGTCTTTTCATGGTCTGTGCAATTTAAAAAAGGCTTTACATTCAATAAAAAAAATTAAAATTGATCTCACAACGCTATCAATCTGTTTGTCAAAATTGTTATAAAAAATGAAAAATCTAAAAACTCAAAAGCTCAGTCCTGTACACTCACTCACTTCTTTCTACAGTCTAAGAAAAACAGATCTGTACTTGTAAGATTTATGTCACTTATTACAATTCCATGGTTGGAGTAATACTCAATCACAAGTAGAAGAACAGGTTAAAAAATAAAAAACTACAAGTACCCCCAAAAGTTACATAACATGACTATTATTACTACTTTCTACCTGTAAATAATGATAAAAACACAAAACCTGCCACATGGCCTTTATTTCCAGTCGAGCTCAGTCCTGTTTGGTCCTGTGTTCCAGCACATGTACAGTGATGAGAGCTGACAGCATGAGCAGCAGTCCCACACAATACACCAGAGTCTTCATCATGCACACACTCCACCCCAGCACCTCCTCTGGACCTGGGACAAAACACACACACCCATGTACACCTTTTAATGAAATCTGTGTGCATGACATCAGATAATAGAGATAATTTAATTTCTCTCCAGCGACTAGGTCAGGAATCAAAATACACTAGACGGTTTTCAAAAACCCCGGAAGTGCAAGTTTGGGCACCAGCCAATCAGCAAAGAGTCATATATTCAGTGTTTTCAACGATTCCCGAGATCGAGGATTTAAAGCCGGAACAAAGAGAATGTTTGGTGAATTTTATCAAGGGGAAAGACGTTATTGTCCTTCTTCCTACGGGATTTGGGAAAAGCTTAATATACCAGTTAGCCCCTTTAGTGGTGCATTACATACGTCACCACCGAATAGCAGGGATTGGTTAACTTAATTCGCCTGTCATCGAGTGAACAAATCCTAATGCTGCGAGGTCAGACAGTTTCCATGAGTGAAACCGGCTGATGAATCAGGCTAGCATTTAGTTCCATAGCTGGCCAAAATATTTGGGTCCAAATTTTATGCAAATTAATGAATATTTAGAGGTTGCTCAAGACACTTGAAAATTGCTCGTTTTGTTTTTGTCTGTAAATAGATTTTCTGCCATTTTGTATTCTATCTGTTAAGAGGGTTTGGCAAAAAAAAAGTGTCAAACCACCTTCAGAAGCCTAAACTGCTTCGGTCTGTAGAATAGTGTCATAGAAAAGTGTAAAGTGTTATTTTTGTGTTCATCGTGAATCATTGTAACATGATTAATGATCATGATAATTAACTGAAGAAAATAAACTAAAACTGAAAAAGCTGCTTCTGTGTCCCACCTTTGTCTTCAGTGCAGATTTGTCGACAGTTTTGTGTTTTTGTTGCATTCTTGACTTCAGGATCTGAAAATTCACAACACAACAATAAACCACCAACTTATTATCTATTGATACTTTGCAGTGACATCACTCTGGGGGTGTTCTACAGCATTGTTTCCCAAAGACTGGGTCTCAAGAGATTATTTTTGGGGTCACTTTGTCACAATCTGCATGTTGCTTTTAAATTACCCTGACAAGATTTTGGTGTGAATTATTACTTTCATAATCTCAAGAATTTAAGTAAAAAACATATTTCTTCATGTTGTGTGCGCTGAAATGAATCATGGGATATTGTTACTATAAAACTATGCATTTAAGGAAAGAAGTTTGTAATTTAATCTACTGTGATGCCCCACAGTATTATTGTGAACCTTCTGACAATACGATATTACAATATTTCAGTTATTGTTACATCCTACTAG